CAATGTTCATCTTCTTTACTCTTGGACTAATATCATGTGCATGTATACACATGCCATTTACAAAATCCTGTGAAACCTCCAAATATGTGGAGAAATGCTACGCTTCTATTTTGGGCAGAAACGTTCTGCTTTCGGCACATGTGTGGAGGCTTGTGAGATTTCACACATGTACAGACACTTTGACAGGTCCGATAAACCTGTGGCATGTCTGCACATGTGCCAGATATGATGGTATACTGCTCTGGACATGTCATGCTCACCTAGATGAGGATATAGAAAGTAGAAAGTTAATAATTAAAAGTATTTATTGTTTTTTGTACTCCAGATAGATTTTTCCAAGAGGGAGGGAGAGGAGACAGAGGCAATAGTTATATTAATGGGTGATGGGATACTTCAACGTTTGAAGCCAAAGCTTCCAGATTCTACTTTCACTTTCTATTAGAAGCTCTGCTCACCCCTCTCAGCAGTGAGTTGTCAGCCTGCCAACCTTCTAATGTCTAATGACTTCAAAGTCTTCACTGTTTCTGTTGTAAACTTTTAGGATGAATTACTTCACAGTGGTTGTTACTGCAGAGGTCAGTGAAGGGTTATTTAAAGCTATTTACTGCTTGTAAAATATGTACATATTTGAATGTCTTGCTATAGTTTACTTGAGTACTTTTACATTGTCTTAGGGCTAAAGGATTCACGTATCTAAAATGTTACTATCTAGAGCAGGGGTCCTCAAACTACGGACCGCAAGCCACATGCAGCCCGCCGAGGACATTTATCCGGCCCGCCGGGCAGGGGCGTATCTGCCGCGAGGCAAGAGACTAGGGTTTGGCAGGTCGGGAGAGCTAGGCAGGAGGGCGGGATCAGCAATTCTAGAACAGGGGTTACTAAGAGATGGCAGTAGGCGGGGCTAGTGAGAGGATGGGGTGGGGAGGGCGAGCGATAAGTTAAATAAGGGGCGTGGTCTTTTCAGGGCACTGTCATGTGCGAGCCGCTGCTTCGGTGACAGAGCGGGAGGTTATTGGGAGGAGCTTAAGGGGCGGTGACGTGTGAGACGATCACAGGGGCTGCCAAATGTCAATGGCCTCCCTACTCATCAATGCTGAGATTTACAGGAAACCATCGCCGGAGCACACTGCATGTTTGTGTCAGGCTGGAATCACAGCAAAAAGTGCATGCATCCCAATCTACAGGCACATGTGACCCACAGGGGTCTACTTACCAACTTTTTCACTTGGGATTCACAGGACTTTCACGCATTTTTACATAAAAACAAATTTAAAGGAAAACAAAGTGAATCTTGGGTGAAAGTTATAATAGCAAACCGAGCTGCTGTACATAAGGAATTAAATGTCATTTAGATAGTTCAATAAAGTTAAAGGAGAAAAAAAAGCGCAACGCACTTGGCCTCCAACACAGGGGTGTCTGTATATCTGTGCAAAGGGCCATCTCTGCACATACAGGATGAACACCCCGCTCACATCAAGCTGACTTTGAAATCGTGTGACTTACAGTGAAGTCGCAGGAGTTCAAAATTGGGTAACTTGCCGATTTCAGGTGCGATTTGCAAGACATCTGACCCTCCATTCACATCAAGCCCGACTTTGAAATAGTGCGACTTATAGTGAAAGCGCACGATTTCAAAGTCGGGGAACCCGCCGATTTCAGGTACGATCTGCAAGACATCTAATACAGATGTCTATGTGAATCGCACCAAAAGTAGTGCATGTACTATCTCTCTCTCCCCCCTCCCCTCCTCTCTCTCCCCCTCCTCTCTCTCTCTCCCCCCTCCTCTCTCTACCCCTCCTCTCTCTCTCCCTCCCTCTCTCTCTCTTTCTCTCTCTCTCTCCCTCCTCTCTCTCTCCCCTCCTTATCTCCCCCCCTCTCTCTCTTTACATTGTACACAGATCTGACCCAACAAGGTGTCCTGCATTTACCGTATATTTCGCTCCATAAGACACACTTGGAGGAAGATGTCTGTGCGTCTTATGGAGCGGCCGGCCCAGTATTCCCACCGCCGTTGTATGTTCGCAGTCTCTGGTCATCTCATGTACTATGTCCGCAGTCTCTGGTCATCTCCTGTACTGTGTCCGCAGTCTCTGGTCATCTCCTGTACTATGTCTGCAGTTTCTGGTCATCTCCTGTACTATGTCCGCAGTCTCTGGTCATCTCCTGTACTATGTCTGCAGTCTCTGGTCATCTCCTGTACTATGTCTGCAGTCTCTGATCATCTCCTGTACTGTGTCCGCAGTCTCTGGTCATCCCCTGTACTGTCTGCAGTCTCTGGTCATCTCCTGTACTATGTCCGCAGTCTCTGGTCATCTCCTGTACTGTGTCCACATTTGTTCATAGTTTTTTTTATAAACTGTAGTCCGGCCCTCCAACAGTCTGAGGGACAGTGAACTGGCCTCCTGTTTAAAAAGTTTGAGGACCCCTGATCTAGAAGCTATGGAGCTTACACACATTCTGCCTTCTTCAGTCAGGCAGTACAAAGAGCAAAACTGAACAGCAAAGTGGGGTAACTATAATACCCGTATTTATAAAGGCAGGTTAATAAATGTGTGTTGGGTTTTTTTTTTGGGGGGGGCATTGCTAATTTTTATGTTTGTTTGTTATGTTTATTGTCTACTTTAGTGCCATGCCAAAGCTGCTGTATATATGAATATATCACCTGTTATGCTGCATTTATATGTAGCAAATACCTGCAAATATTAATACCACATTTCCTGTACATGATCAGGAACATGCATGTGTTATTCAAATCATATATTACCTTGCTGCAATAAGGCAGCTGCTAATAACAGCTGTGATTAGGCTGGGAACAAGTCACTACAGGGTATACTTTTTGCCAGGTGGCAGAACGTGTCAGTTGGCTTTTAGAAAAACTGTCAAGGTCAGCAATGAGTATGGGGACTAGGCTGCAAGTCCATAAGCCAAAAGGAACATGGAACACTAAAGGGAAATGAGACACCACAGTTATGGGAGTCAGTGGTGTATTTTGGTTTTGTGCTGCCCTAGGCAAGACTAAAACCCCCCCATCTAAATTTGTCCCACCCTTTCATCTGCAAACTCCACTCCTTCCTCTTTAGGCTCCACCGCTTCCTATTAGAGCTCCGCCCACTGGCAACCATGGGGCATTATTCCTCACACTGACAATAATGATGGGGCACTATTCCTCCCACTGACATTAATGACGGAGTACTATTCCACACACTGACACTAACGATGGGGCACTATTTCTCCCACTGATACCAATGATGGTACCCCATCATTAGTGTCAGTGTGTGAGGAATAGTGCCCCATCATTAGTGTCAGTGTGCTGAATAGTACTCCGTCATTAGTGTCAGTGGGAAGAATCGTACCCCATCACTGGTGTCAGTGGGAGGAATCGTGCCCCATCATTGGTGCCAGTGGAAGGAATTGTGCCCCATCATTAGTGTCAGGGGGAAGAATAGTGCCCCATCATTGGTATCAGTGGGAGGAATAGTGCCCCATCATTAGTGTCAGTGGCAGGAATAGTGCCCCATCATTGGTGTCAGTGGGAGGAATACTGCCCTATCTTTGGTGTCAGTGGGAGGAAGTGCCCCATCAATAGTGTCAGTGGGAGGAATAGTGCCCCATCATTGGTGTCAGTGGGAGGAATAGTGCCCCATCTTTGGTGTCAGTGGGAGGAATAGTGCCCCATTATTTGTGTCAGTGGGAGGAATAGTGCCCCATCATTGGTGTCAGTGGGAGGCATAGTGCCCCATCATTGTTATCAGTGAGAGGAATAGTGTCCCATCATTGGTGTCAGTGGGAGGAATAGTATCCCATCACTGGTGTCAGTGGGAGGCATAGTGCCCCATCATTGGTATCAGTGGGAGGGATAGTGTATCATCATTGGTGTCAGTGGGAGGCATAGTGCCCCATCATTGGTGTGAGTGGGAGGAATAGTGCCCCATCATTTGTGCCAGTGGGAGGAATAGTGCCCCATCATTGGTGTCAGTGGGAGGAAAAGTGCCCCCTCATTGATGTCAGTGACACCAATGAGGGGGCACTATTCCTCTCACACTGACACTAGTGATGGGGCACTATTACTCCCACTGACACCATTTATACTTACATCGCTGTGCTGACCCCTGCTCCAGCCCGGGCTCCCTCCTTCAGGCACAGACACTTACCCATCAGCTGTCTTCCTTCTCAAGCCGCTCTCCTCCTCTTCACCGGCTCCAGCTGCTCCCTCACTCGATCTTCAATCTTCGCCCTGCCGCTCAGCTCCTCCTCTCCAAGCTCTGCCTCCTCGCCTGTGATTGGCCGCCTGTGTGCCTTTTCTGAGCTACAGATCTGGCGGCCAATCACTGACGAGGAGGCGGAGCTTGCAGAGGGAGGGACGGGCTGCCATAGGCGGCCCAGTGATCCCAGGGGTGTGGCCAGATTCGAGGGGTGGCTTGTCATCCCGCCTACATCACGATTAAGATCCAGAAAGATGAAGACACCGGACGGACACCCTCTGCACCCCTCCTCCAGCAGCGCCTTGTGGACCGGATCGACGTGGGACATGGAGTCACGGACACAGGTAATACACAGCAGTCCATGTCCCTTTCCCACAGAAGTGTCCCTTCCATGGGAAAGGGAGGGGGCGGCGCTATATTATATATATATATATATATATATATATATATATATAATTTTTATGTATTATGTATTGAAGTAGTTGTACACCTCTGAAATGAAAAATGAACAAAACATATCCTTCTATAGTGTATACTTGATTTGTTTGATCCAAAGCACTTTCAATTCTGACAAGTGGGAGGGATCCAAAGGATGGGGGGAGGGGAGCCCTAGCACACAGCATGTACAGTAATGGACAGGCTCAGCTGTTTACATTTTTACAATTTTTTCCATAGTTGGGTGGTTCATTCAAATGAATGTGTTGCCCTAATGCAAGTTAACTGTCATGGTCATGGGTCAGACTAGGAGACGAGTAACTATAGCATTAGAGAGGCTAAGTAGCAGCAGAGAGCAGCAGATAAATAGATAAGATATAGCAGCAGAGAGAGATAAGTACATGAGCAGGTAGCTGATGACGTAAGCTCACCCGAGGTGTGGGGTCTAAGCCAGAGGCGGACTGACCATTTGGGAACTCGGGCACTGCCTGAGGGCCCGGGGTCAGTAGGGGGCCCCATGAGATGCCCCTGGTACCTTTTCATAGGCTTTTTTGGGTGTGGTTTGAGTGTGGGTGAGGACACGGGGGCCCCATGATCCCCTATTGTCCGGGGGCCCCATGAGTTGTCAGTCCATCCCTGGTCTAAGCACTAACTGGTCTTCACCAGAGCTCCTGATGGTTGAGATGGGTTTTGCTGTGTGCTTGTGCAAGGCCACAGACCTCAAGCGGTGAGGAAGCCAGGGTCTGGTAGCAGATGTAGCAGGTAGGGATCAAGCAGCAGCATAGTCATTAAACAAGCCAAAGGTCGGTAACAAATGGTTGCAGGTTGGGATCTAGTGGAAGAATAGTCAAGGAACAAGCCAAAGATCAATAACAAATGGTTGCAGGTTGGGATCAAGTGGAAGCATAGTCAAGCAACAAGCCAAAGGTCAATAACAAATGGTTGCAGGTTGGGATCAAGTGGAAGCATAGTCAAGGAACAAGCCAAAGATCAATAACAAATGGTTGCAGGTTGGGATCAAGTGGAAGCATAGTCAAGGAACAAGCCAAAGATCAATAACAAATGGTTGCAGTTTGGGATCAAGTGGAAGCATAGTCAAGGAACAAGCCAAAGATCAATAACAAATGGTTTCAGGTAGGGATCAAGCAGCAGCATAGTCATTAAACAAGCCAAAGGTCGGTAACAAGTGGTTGCAGGTTGGCATCTAGTGGAAGCATAGTCAAGGAATAAGCCAAAGATCAATATGAAATGGTTTCAGGTTGGGATCAAGTGGAAGCATAGTCAAGGAACAAGCCAAAGATCAATAACAAATGGTTGCAGGTTGGGATCAAGTGGAAGCATAGTCAAGGAACAAGCCAAAGATCAATAACAAATGGTTGCAGGTTGGGATCACGTGGAAGCATAGTCAAGGAACAAGCCAAAGATCAATAACAAATCATTGCAGGTTGGGATCAAGTGGAAGCATAGTCAAGGAACAAGCCAAAGATCAATAACAAATGGTTTCAGGTAGGGATCAAGCAGCAGCATAGTCATTAAACAAGCCAAAGGTCGGTAACAAGTGGTTGCAGAATGGGATCTAGTGGAAACATAGTCAAGGAACAAGCCAAAGATCAATAACAAATGGTTGCAGGTTGGGATCAAGTGGAAGCATAGTCAAGGAACAAGCCAAAGATCAATAACAAATGGTTGCAGGTTGGGATCAAGTGGAAGCATAGTCAAGGAACAAGCCAAAGATCAATAACAAATGGTTGCAGGTTGGAATCAAGTGGAAGCATAGTCAAGGAACAAGCCAAAGATCAATAACAAATGGTTTCAGGTTGGGATCAAGTGGAAGCATAGTCAAGGAACAAGTCAAAGATCAATAACACATGGTTGCAGCTTAGGATTAAGTCGAGGAACAAGCAAAGCAAGTTGTAGTGAAGGTATAGATGGCAGCAGGAGTGAAAGGAGCAAGATATTTCCCAGAGAAGAGCACAATAATCTGGAAAACAAGGAGTGCAGAAACAGAGGAAGTTCATGGGGGGAGCAAAAAGTTCAAGGTTCATCAGAAACAACAGAGCCTGCAAAGCCCTCGTCCCCTCCGCCTAAGCTAACAGGCAAAACATTGATCTACTGTGCAGTGCTGTCTGGTCATCTTTAGTTTACAGAGTCCAGGGCTGCTGCCTGCCTGCAGAGAGAGTGGAAACTGTCACTGAATGTGTTATGAATGATCGCAACACAAGCTGAGTCTCCACTCTCTCTCCATGTACTGAATAACAGGCTGCAGGTCCAGACTCTCTGTGGACTAGACAGGACAGACGAGGGGACAGGTGCTGAGGAAAGGAGAAGGGATGGGGCTGAGTGCTGACTGTAACAACCCCCCCCTTCCCATAGATCAGTCATATTTTTAGGCTTTAGGTAGGTGGATCTACAGCCAGCAATAACAGAAAACAAACATTTATTATGTTAACTGCTCAGATTTTAATGGGAACAAGTGCTATGTTCACAAGGACCCCTGTTTTTATTTCGTCTGGTGATAGCTCTTCTCTAAGACTGAGATACCACTATAACCTCAATTGTCAAACAGCCACAGTTGAAGCTGAAGTGTTGAGCCAGCATAAGCCTATGAGAGGGATCCAGAAAGGCAAGCAAGATGTGCAGAAGGCCATTGGCCATGTGTATATAGCAACTTTCCGGTATCCTGTGCTCCCTCCTCCTCCTTCCTGTTCTACATGCACTAGTGAAGTAAAACTGCAAAAAAACTCTTATCTAAAGGGACTTGCACCCATCTTTTGTACATGCAGAGAAAAGGATCACTTCCATAGATGAATGTACTTGAGACTGTATTGCCAAGTAAGTGGGTTTTGGACATTTAGCTAACAATGTAGATGTCAGTTAGCTAAATATCAATAATTAGTTATATGTGTTGAAAGTGCTTAAAGTGTCTCAATCATTTTCATGTACTTCTTCCATCAGAAGTACCTGGTTGATCCTGCTAGTCAGCTTCCTTCCTTGTTCTAAACTGACAAGCTGATTTGAGTTTGTGTGGTCAGTTTTCATCTTTTGGCTGCCATTCAGAGGTGCAGACACACAACATGCTTGCTTTGGGTAGTTTATTTATCCACCATGCCCACTTATCAATCACAACATGTCTCTGGCACACACACCCTTCCTATCACAGCCTACCTCTTGAACATGCCCCTTGCTGCTGCATCTTGCCTGAACAGACTATGGAACACAGGCACCCAGTGTCCTGTAACCGCAACCCCAGGAAGAAAAGATGGTCACATGACAGTTCTTTTTAAAAAGTTAAAGAGATATTAAAGGCTCATTGTTTATTTTTTTTACCAATATTATACTTAAATTCTCTGTGGTTTTGCACAGAGAAGCCCTGATCCTCCTCTCCCGGGGGGTCCCCCGCCGGTGCTCTGAGCTCCTCTCCTCACCGAGTGCCCCCAGAGCAAGCCACTTGCTCTGGGGGCACTCATGAGTGCTTGCTCCAGAGCCCTGCTCTGTATGTCCATAAGACACACAAATCAGGGCTCAGTCCCACCCCCCCCCACTCCTCTGATTGACCGCAGCAAGAGCCAATGACTTCTGCTGCTGTATCTGAACCAATAAGGAGCGAAAGAGCCAAGACAGCCTCAGCTCTAGCGCACATAACTGGATCGAGATAGGGCTCAGTTCTGTATTTAGGAGGGGCTGCGTTTGAAGCTGCATGCAGAAGGTATTTTACCTTGCTGCATAGAATGCAGTAAGGTAAAAAAAAACTTTTGTGTCTATAACATAGAATGTTCACAATACGTTTAACAGCAGCATTACGAATATAAATCTAAGGTTTCAAAATTAATGCTTTTTTTCTTTTGTAGTAGTCTACTACTTTACAAAGGGGAAAGACAAATTATATGCGTATATTAAAACTGAAATGTGATTGGATAAATAAATCTATTCAATGCCATAAAAAATATGAAAGCAGTCCAACCTGTTTATTAAGTGACCAATTAAATGAATGAACTTTTGTCGTTTTAATAAACGCAGGGTAAGTCAAGTGATTCCTGTTATGAACACAAACAGGGTGTAATTGCTCTGACCATAAATAATATTTATCTGACCCTTAGAATTCTAGAAATGTTGTCATGTTCTCTGTGTAAGTATGATCTTTTGAACTTAGACACATAATTATATATAACATGACAACAAATGATCTTTTGAACAAAGACACGTACTAATATATCACATGACAACAAATGATAGCCTTGTTTAGACATGAAACATATCAATGGGTATCATTCCTTTTTGCATGGATTTTCTTGAATCAGATGATTGACAGACAGACAAGGGGACACAGATGGAAATAATATTCTGACAGAATTTCTAACTTCTAACACAAAAAGATTTTGCTGTCTGGTACAAACACAAAGCATTATGGAATTACAATAGCAGAGAACTATAGATTAAGAGGTCTGGCCTGAAAACAGACCCACAAAGTAAAAGGAAGAAAAGTAAAAAAAAAAGAAAAGAGAGAACCATTCTTAGAGTGCTCCATCTACATTGCCTTAATTAAAAAAAAAAACTGAATCAAATGCAATTAATGATGATTCTGAGCCAGGAAAACTTCGGAAGAATAATTTATATTTCCAACTTGTGAGGTGCTGTATGTTAACATAGCAGAAAAGCATGGTCAGGTCAAGGAAACACAAATATTTTTACAAGTCCAGAGAACCTAACTGCTTTACTAAAAAAATATATCTTACCATGCCAAATTGCTGATGTCTACATTACACACTCATCTCCAATCCACCCTTCCTGCCAAATTTGAACATATGGGGAGAGCCAAAAACAGACAGTCACAAAGGGAAAAGCTATTGCTGTGCTTCCTCTTAAAAATCACATAGTTCTCTTTTAAAAACTAGGATCAAGACTGCATGCATGTATTTGTAAATAAAATATATAAAAAAAAAAAATTCCACAGTTAAAACAAAAAATACAAAAATTGGACCATAAACCATTTTAGCTTTCCTTTAATGGTTTACTATATTGTATGCATCTATTTAGCAACTATGATGTTGCCCGGTTTGTCAAGCCCACTTCACCACTTTCAGTTTCTTTCTTGCATCCTTCTACTTATATGTATATATCCTCCTAGATTGTAAGCTCCAAGGAACAGGGCCCTCCTATCCCTTTTGTATTGAACTGTATTGTCTCCCGTTATATTGTAAAGCGCTGAGCAAACTGTTGGCACTATATAGATCCTGTATAATAATAATAATAATATGGTGGTTTTGTTTCATTTCACTAGCTCAATAACACTTTGTCTAGCCTCAGAAGTGAGAAGGAAGTATGGAACAGTACACCACAAGACCAGTACAGGGCAAGATAAATTTAGAAATATTGTGTCCTACAAATTATCTACAGAAGAGCAAGAAGTCTTAGCATTGGGGCTAAATTTGTGCCCATATCAATAATGACAAAATTGATATGAAAACCCCTACACGCCTAAGGGTAAAACAAATCTAAATGCCTAAGCAATTCAACATTGACATGTGTTAGTAAAAC